GCCGTCGACGTCTTCTGCTGCACCAACTGGGTTAGTTTTGATTTTTTTAACATTTACTAAAGAAAAAATTGAAAATCTTGGGAGGTTTGTTTACGAAGTCTTAAATCGATGGCGAACGCGTTGATCCTTTCTTTGAAGTATTTGTAGAGGTTAGAGAGGGATAGATTAGAGCGTAAATATTTGCTGTGTATCTTTCAATGTAGCGCGAGTGGTTCCGCCACCACGCGAGATTGAGTAAACAGTAGCAAGTAGATGTCAAACAAAAGAGCGCTGCGGAGGTGTGTGCCCACATAGCGTTTCGTTTGTAAATCTTTTGAAGAGACACGTAACAATTGGCTTTGTTAATATTCTGCACAGCGTGATAGTGGGTTGATATTTGAACATTTGCAGGTTTCCTTCTTTGGCTGGCTTACCTCCACAAGCTCTGCAATCGTTGGCCTTATCCAATAATCAGCAGATGTTATCAGCATTACAGGAAGCTCGACGAGTTGCTGCGTAAGTTTTAGACATATTTTTTTTTGTCAAAAAAAATGTATTGCGATCATGAAAAGCCTGACACATCGGGTGCTCGGCTCAACACTGTGTCGCAGTAGTCTTTCTTCCTTTTTTTCCCGTTCTTCAATTTTTTCCTTCCAGCACAACGCCGAAGCCGCCCCAATCCCAAATGACCCCACAACGGCCACCGTCCGCCATGCCGCGGACACCCCAACAACCCACTGGACTCTCTCTACCACCCGGTTTAGCCTCACTTGGTCCAGCCGGTCTATCCTTAGCGGCCCCAGCACCCGCAGCTGGATCGCTTACAAACGGCACAAGTGACGCAGCCGCAGCGCAACAGGCCATGCTACAAGCATTGATGCAACAAATGCAACAGCAACACCATCAGCAGTTGTTACAACAACAGCAACAATTGCAACAACAGCAACAGCAACAACAACAAGCTGCCGCAGTAGCCGCTGCAGCTGCGCAAGCGCAACGTGAACGTGAGCAGAGGGAATTGCAAGCGCAACAGCAACAAGCCCAGTTACAACAGCAACAGGTAAGAGTCAGTTTTACTCCTATTTCAAAGTCTTAGTCAAACATTTCTTAAAGCGAGCTTATTTTAACAC